GGCTCGCTGTGCAGCTTATGAAAAAAAAAAGGGTATTAAGTCACCCCTTTGTTAGCTCTTTAGGATTTTTCAAAGGATTTAAAAAAAAAAAGAAAAAGAAAAAAAAGCATTGTAACGAAGCAGCTCGGCATATTCAGCGCCATTTTTGACTTCTCTGTATCAGAAATATATATTAACAAAGTTGATAAGAAGAAAGTCTTGTAAACTCTTCAGAGAAGTGAAACTAATTAACAAGAAACTGATGGCCGGCTGTTCCTCCCTTTGAACTTTTATCACTGCTTTTGCAGAAGAATTAGGAATGTGGCATTGTTACGGAGAACGCTCACTTCGCCCTCTAACAATTCCAACACAGGGTTCAGGACCGCCACATATTAGTCCTAACAGACAACACCACAACCAAGACATACCTTAACAGGCAGGGGGGAACACGTTTCTGGCCTCTGATGCAGGAGTCCAACCTGTTGTGCCAGTGGGCAGAATCTCACCTGTCATCTCTCAGGGCAGATCACATCTCAGGGGCCTCCAACGTTCAGGCAGACTGGTGAGCCGGATCAGGATAGATCAGGCGGAGTGGAGCGTCCATCCGAACCTCTTCCATCAACTGACACTATGATTCGGTCTCCCAGTCCTAGACCTGTTTGTGACGGCAGACAACAACCAGGTACCCAGGTTTTACTTGCGGTTCATGGATCCCATGGCAGAAGGAGTAGATGCCCTCAGGTGCCATTGGCTCAAAGGTCTCCTGTACGTATTTCCGCCCCTTCCCCTCATTCAGAGAGTAATTCAGAAAACGTTGGAGCAGGAGGCAGAACTATTGCTGTTAGCGCCGAATTGGCCACGCCGGCCTTGGAATGCCAACCTAGTGAGTCTGTCAATCTCCACTCCATGGCACATCCCACGGTCTTTCCTGTCTCTACTCCAAGGGTCAGTTTGTCATTCTGACCCTCAGTGGCTACAATTAACCGCCTGACGATTGAGCAGCAAGCCTTAACATCCGATAACATTTCCTTCAATGTCATTGCTACCATTCAGGCATCACGCAGAAGCTCTACTAACCGCATTTACGGTGCCACATGGCGGGCATTTGCACTGTGGTGTATCAACAAGACTATTGACCCACTTAAAGCATCCATTCCACAGATAATGGACTTCTTACAAAGGGGGCTTAATCAGGGCCTTACCCCTAATACGTTACACCGACAGGTGGCTGCTTTGGCTTCTGTCCTAGACAGTCTTGCCTCCGACCATCTACCTTCTCATCCCTTGATCCAGAGATTTCTCCGTGGAGCATCCAACCTGTATCCTCCTGCCATCCATAGATATCTGACTTGGGACTTGCCTTGTGTCCTAGAGGCTCTGATTGCCTCGCCCTTTGAACCTATGAGATCCACTTCTTTGAAACTGTTGTCCTTTAAGACGTTGCTTTTGGTGGCTATAACATCTGCCAAACGCATTTCTGATTTGGCTGCCCATTCAGTCAGGCATGACTTATGCGTGTTCCATCCAGACCGAGTTGTTTTAAGACTGGACCCAACATTCATACCGAAGGTGAATTGCTGCTTCCACAGAGGTCAAGGGTTAACCTTGCCTGATTTCTGCCCGTCTCCTCGTCATGAGAGGGAGCATAAGTGGCACACTCTTGATGTACGTCGTGCCCTCAAGATCTTCATCAACCGCACCACTTTGTTCCACCACTCAGAAGCTCTCTTCGTATCCTTTCACCGGGCCTCCTTGGGTAACCAGGCTTCGTCATCGAGTCTAGGGCGGTGCATTAAACTATCTTATGAACTTCAGTCCTTGCAGGTTCCTCTAAACATTATAGCTCATTCTACACGTAGTGCTGTGACAACTGCTGCTTGGTCCACACAAGCCACATTGGAAGAAGTCTGCCGGGCAGCCACATGAGCGTCTCCCACAGTCTTCATATGTCATTACAAGTTAGACAAGTATGTGTCGGCTGATGCAGCTTTTGGGCGCAGGGTGCTGCAACAAGTGCTTGTGCCTTAACAAACTTTCTTTAGTATCCCCACTCTAGCAGGCAGCCCAGTCTTTGGTACGTCTCAGTCTGGCTGCTGTCTCCTGGATCACAGAGAATGGGCATTGGTTCTTACCTGATACGCTCATTAAGTGGAGACAGCAGCCAGCCCCACGCTGGGGTGCGTCACGCAATTCAGAACTTTTTTGTGCAGAGGAGAGAGAGAGAGAAACAGAGGATATGGACTTGACACATGTACATTTTTGCTCACAATTCTCACTTGAGTCTACAGTTTTCCTTCGTCTGAACTGGGAAGGAGCCACAAGGACCCAATGATATCATAAGTGTAGACTCAGTCCAATTGGTTACTGGAAGGAGTAAACCCAGTCTGGCTGCTGTCTTCACTTCAACAGAGAATGAGCGTATCAGGTAAGAACCAACACCCATTTTCTTAATGTTGAGTTTCAAGCCCACTTTTGCACTCCCCTCCTTTACCTGCATCAAGAGGCTCTTTAGTTCCTCTTCACTTTCTGCCATTAGAGTGGTATCATCTTAATATCTGAGGTTGTTGATATTTCTTCGGCCAATCTTAATTCCAACTTGTTATTCATCTAGCCCCGCCTTTCTATATGTTGTCTGCATATAAGTTAAATAGGCAGGGTAACAGTATGCAGCCTTGCCGAACTCCTTTCTCAATTTTGAACCAATCAGTGATTCCGTGTGCAGCTCTCACTGTTGTTTCTTGATCCGCATATAGGTTTCACAAGAGACAAATAAGATGGTCTGGTACTCCCATCTCTTTTAAGAACATGCCATAATTTGTTGTGATCCACACAATCAAAGGCTTTAACATAGTCAATGAAGCAGAAGTAGATGGTTTTCTGGAACTCCTTAGCTTTCTTCATAATCCAGTTTATGTTGACAATTTGATCTCTAGTTCCTCTGCCTCTTTGAAATCCTGCCTGTACTTTTGGTAGTTCTTGGACCACATACTGCTGGGGTCTAGTTTGTAGGGTTTTGAGCATAACTTTGCTAGCATGAGTGCAATGGTGCGGTAGTTTAAATATTCTTTGGCATTGGCCTTCTTTGGAATTAGAATGTAAACTGACCTTTCCAATCCTGTGGCCACTGTTGAGTTTTCCAAATTTGCTGGCGAATTGAGTGTAGCACTTCTATTCCACTGTCTTTCAAGATTTTGAATAGCTCAGCTGAAATACTGTCATCTCCACTAGCTTTGTTGTTGCTTAGATAATATTGTGGTAATATTTGCTGCAGCCTAAATGAGCCTTGGTGTGTCATTCTTTGGTTGATGCTCACTAATGGGAAAGCAACAGTCACTGTGATCTCTTGTCTCCCAGAAAAAGTGCCATGATAATTTCTCCCTCACTCCTCATTTCCTCTTGTTTTCTTTGTTACTTTATCTTATATAGAATATTGTTACATTTTCTATAACATGTAAGATATAATTTTATGTTGTTGTAAATAATTGCAATATCTTTTTTAGGCAGCTCACTTAAAACCAGTGGATAAAAGTAGCCAATTGAAAGGAAATGCAACAATTGATCTATGTGTATTTCACCTAGAGAACTGAGAAGTACATCCACCCTGTGAAGAGTTAGGATGTTTTGTAACAAATACCATGAAAGAAAGAAAAAAATAAACTATACAATTTGTAACAGGAGATTAGCAACTAGCTGCTGTATCCATGTGCCCAGGGCTACTCCTTTGTAGTATTATTTAATATGAGACAAATGAGTGCTGGAAATTCTTTAAACTCATTTCTGGTTATGTTTTGTTTTCTTGCTTTATTGTTTGCTTAGGGCTATATGCTTATTTAAAAAGAAAGATAAGTCTAATCAGTACAAACTTGAAAATAAGCTTTCATATAGCTATTTTTTTTGTTTGATATTACTGTAGAACAAATCAAAAGCTGTTAATACTAAATTCTCAACCATTTCCATAATGAAATTATATCTCTAGTTTTGCCTCAATGTGAATGAGGTTCTTTACATTTTTAACAGTGCTTGAATATAGAATTTAAAAAATTATACTAACTTCAATTTCCTATTCAGTGTAAAATTCTGAAATAAGTGTTTCTGAAAAAGAAATATCTCATCTATGATTGTAGACATCCAATGAAGGGAGGCATGATTATTCTGTTGGTCCCAGTGTTGAAGTGCTGTTACTGACTTTTGTAAAAGTCAGTAAGATATTTGAAGAGTAGGAGTGCTATCATTTAATCCTTAGTCTTCTCTACTCAAGAGTAGTCTTATAATAATTTTCATTGTCTTTTTCTGAACCTATTTCAATTTAATTGAATCTTTCTAAATATTTGCAGCTCAGAATTGGACATAATATACAAAGTAGGAGTGCAGTGCAAAATAATTGATTTGGAAACATCATTTCTTTTCATGCAGCCTAAAAAGTGCATTTGCCTTATTTTTTGCATTGATATCATGTTATTGACTCATATTGACATTGCAGTCAACTATTTTTATTTCCCCTGTAAGTCCAGCTACCAAGTTATGTATTTTTCATCCTTTACCTTGGAATTCAGTTATTTTTGGTTTTCTAAATGAAAAAAATCATATAATGTCAAGGGTGGCCTCTCATACCTTCCCCTATATCTCAAGGAGAAAATTGTCATCCCCCACCCCCACCCCCCCAAAAAAGTTCAGGAATTTCCTGAAATGCCTAGGCTTGGTGACATTTTGCAAACAGATGTTAGGTAATACATCCTCTATAATTACTGTGTCATGTCTGTGAAAGATTTGCAATTTGTTTTTAGAAGATGATATTTACATAATTTCTATGGTGGGACTTATGATAGGGAAAATTCAACCTCAGTGTGCCTTTTATTTGTTCCTCTGATTATTTTACTACAGATGCTCTTTAAAGTCCTAAGTACATTAACTTGGGTTTCTGAACAGGAGTGATTACTTTTTACATGCAGTACCATTTTTTTCTATTGCTTCTATTCCTATTGAACAAATTTTATATTTCAATTGCTAGATTTCATTCATGGGACTCTTCCACCATGTCTTTGTCATACCGATTAAACCTTATTTGCTTTCCTGTGTTAATAGTCTGTTCATCTTGTTTATGTCACATCTAAAAATTAGTGTATTGACAAAAGATACCATAAACTTTATAAACCAATGCTCTTTTTGATTTTTAATTCAGTGCTCCAATGGCTTCTTTATTACAGTTTTTTTATAGCAAAAAGTATTTATCAATAATTCTTACTCCAGGATTTTAGTCCATATTTTCATTATGGATTCATTATGAAATGTATAATATTTTGGCCAAATTGTTTCATCAGGTTTTTTGTTTGTTGTTTAGCATTATAACTCAAACCTGGGATACCAGAAACTAAACCTTTCCTGAAACTTCCATAGCCATTCACTTGCAATATGCTTGAGATGGAAATTTTCATACCAAAACTACAAACTGCAATTTATGCACAAATAAATGTTGGGCTGAAAACAAGAGTGCACCTACAGTAAGACGACCCAAGACCTGAATGTTTAAGCTATTTATTGTGTAGATAGGGCTGCCTGAGAAAATAACGTGATACATAATGATGTTGTAATAGGAGATTTCATGAGGAATAAATAGAAAGTGTCCCAAAGTTTCAAGAGGCAATTGGACTTTCTGGTTTTTCTTTGAAGACGTTCTGCTTCTCATCCAAGAAGCTTCTTCAGCTCTGAATGGATGGTGGAAAATGGAAGGATTTATACACGTTGCAGACAGTCAGTCATTTGCATTCTTTTAGTGAGTCGTTGAAGCCACCTAGAGGTTTATCTGTGTTATCAGGATCACCTGAGTAGTGCAAATGGGTGTGGAGCCTTCTTGGAACTGTTGAAAGGACTGTGTTGTAGACTGGAGATTGATGATGTCTCCCCCTCTGTTGAGAGAGGGTTGTTCAATTTTGATATAGGTGCAAATGACCAGTTGTCTGCAAGGAATATAAATCCTTCCATTCCTCACCATCCAGTCAGAGCTGAAGAAGCTTCTTGGATGATAAGTGAAATGTCTTCAAAGAAAAAACAGAAAGTCCAGTTGCCTCGTGAAAAAGCACCTTTGGGAGAACAATGACCTAGATGATTGAGAATCTCCATAGATAAATAGAAAGTGTTTAAATTGTTTGGAGAATAGTAGGCTTTCCTACAGTACATCCTTTGTTGTTACATGCATATCACGATTTCTAACTGAAAAATATTTTCACTTCCATTCCAAAAACCCAACTTTTGAAACAGCAGGAAAATGGTTAAAGTGAAAAGACCATAATATTGTAATAGTGGCTGATGTGAGCCAGCTAGAATGTTATTTAAAAAACAACAACAACAACAGGGAGCCAAAGATTAGTCTTCGTTTAATCATGAATCTTTGCTGGATGATCACAAACAAGTCTTGCTCAGTCTACCCTATCTCAAAGGATAAAAAATACAAAAAAAAATATGCTGCTTCAAATTTCTTCAAGGAAGAATAGAATACAAGACAAGTAACTCCTCAGTTGAGGAGGAAAAAATACTGCCTGGACCCAGTTTTCCCTTGACACAGCCTCTTATCCCCACAGTCTGTGTGCTCCATTTTTGAAAAATCTGTGAAGACTCTTCTAGATGATTTTGCACCCATGGTGCCCCAACTGTGTGAGATGCTGGGACAGATGTATAGCACTATTCCTCAGGCATCTGCTATTGACCTCACCAGGCAGGTAAGGCTTTTTTTTAGCACATTAATCTCTGGTAAATACTACATTCAGAAAGGAAACTAATACTTGTTGAGCAGTTTTTCTGCCATCTGGTGCTCTTGGCTTTTCCTTTGATACAATAATTTTACAAAATGATTTTTCCCTCTCTGTTAGCTCATGTAAATGGATTGTTTGTGTCTGTATGGACAAAAACAAATGAAAAACAGGCAATGTCCTTGAACCATCTAATCTCTTGCTTCCTTTGGTATCTTAAGATTAAAGCTTTCACTGATGCTTAATAGCAGAAACCCTTCGTTGGCCCAAATATGAGTAAGGGGAGGAAGTTGGTAAAAAGTAGGAATGTGAAATAGAATGGAAAATATCATAACTCTTCAATTTCTGTGTTCTCTTACATCCTCAGCTGGTTCACATTTTTGCCCATGAGCCTGCCCACTTCCCACCCATCAAGGCGCTCTTTCTGCTTGTCACATCAGTTACATTAACACTCTTTCAGCAAGGTACGTATGTCTTGAGACCCTCACTCTTGCGAAGCAGTTGCATTGGTAACAGTTCTTTCTAATTGTACGACGTTCAGATTAACCTGTAGGATTGCAGATAGTCACCATTCCCTTGTTCAGATACCAGGCCCTGCTGAACGAGCTCCAACAGAGTTTAGAAATTATATCCTGAATAAAGAGAACCACATTTATTAGCTTGTTTCTCCCCAAAGATCAATTATTATTTGAGAGGGCAATGGTGCTATCATATTCTCCTCTCCCCTCCTTCCAGCTTGTTAAACTGAAACTGTGCCCTTTGGTTGTCAGATTCTCAGTTTTAATAGATAGTAGAATTAGTAGTCTTGCTTGCATAATGGTTGGCTTTGAATAAGACCTACGACCAGTAGGGAGTGTGTTGCTATTTAGTACAGCATAACCAGAACAGTGTGTTGTCACTCACATCTACCTGTTCCTGTGACCCAGTTTGAAGGTCTGAAGGTTCTGCACCACACCTCCCCTGTCCTTCTGCTTACAGGTTTTCTCTCAGAGCTCTGCTGATTTCCTAGCAAGTGTTTGGGTTTGCCTTTTGCTTCTGTGGAACTGCCATACTGCCATTAAGGTGTCCCTAATTGAGGGGATAAGCTTAAAGTATGTAAATAAAATCAATATGCAACAGCATGGTATTAGGGTATCTGGTCCCATCCCCAGATGGCTGGTTGGAACTTGGAACTTGGAATCAGTACTTGAGTGATACCCTGTTAATGCCTGGTTTCATTAGGCAGAACTATGGCATCAACGCAGAGGAAGATGAGTCTCATGGTGCATGATGCTGAAATGAAGAGTGGTTATCAGCAGTCATGCTGGTCTTTCCCTATTAAAAATGTTGCAAAGTTATATACTTCCCAGTCAAGTGAACATTTTGACAAGAGTGAAAGGAGCATAGTGTGTTGGGATGGCCATTAGAGTTCAAATGGATTTTAGAACTTTTATTCACTCACATCAATATTGGATTTGTCAATAGACTCTAGAATTATCTTCAGGGACCAAGTATTTTAAGATAAGTATCCAGTGCAAATATGCTAGTTCTCTAAAAGAAGTCCAGTTAGTTCCTGCTACTCTTTCCTTCCCTGCTAGGGTGCAGTCAGTTCCCCCTTCTTATTCCTGGTGCTTGGCAGGGGAATCTGGGCGACATGCCTATTCCTTTGCACTTTCTTTCTGTTCTTGGGTTTCCAAGCTCCATGATTTTTGTATGTTTTGTTTCTTTAACTTGCTTCAAGCTGCTCATGTGCCTGCCCTCTTCAACCCACCCTGTTGCACCCTCCCCCTCCCCCTTCCCTTACTCCTGTTTTCACTTGTAAATTCTTTCTGTATCACATAACTATATGATGTTAAGTTGCTGTTTGTATGATTTTTCTCTTCAGTTACATCTTTATTATATTTTTAGGGCCCAGGGATCATCCTGATATTGTTGATTCATTTATGCAACTCCTGGCACAGGTGTGTTTTAGTTTCTTATTCATTCACTTTCTGTTCTCTCTCTTTCTCTTTTTTAATTCAATTTAAACCTATTTTAGCTTTCTGTTGACAACGTTTTTCCTTTTAGTTGAATATCGAGTTTCTCATCTGTTTCTGTGGAAGTTGAAAACAAAACATTATCCCTTTTCTTAGGTATAAGTTTATCCCTTCTTCTCTACATAGAATGCAACATGACCTCTAGATTGGATTTGGTTCAGGTCATGTGCTGTGACCTGTAACAGGAGGAACCTTTGGAAAATGGCGAATGCAGTTCAAAAACTTTTAAAAACCATATTGTATATGTTTTGCATGTTTGGCTCTAATGATTCTGAGCTCTTAACAAATCCAGAGTCTCCAGTTGTTGGGTAGAAGTCAGTGATCTAGTGGATTATATCTAAACTTCTAGGAGAGAAACCTGATCTAATGCGAGTAACAGGAAATAACTTGATTTGTTTAAGTGCTTTCAAAGTCTTTTGGTGCTCCATCCTTCTTCACTCTTGTTGAGATATCCTGGGTTGGGTTTTTTTTTTTTTCAGATCATGAATTTTCATGCCGTCTTGTCTCAAATGTTGTTGTAATAATGTAATGTACAATGCAGTGAGCAGTGAGGTACTGCTCGGATAGTTCAGCTTGGGAATAAGTGGACCATGAACTGCTTTTGGGTTGGATGAGCAATATCTTTACTGGAAATCAGCTGTAGGATTACGAATTAATGAAGCAGGGAAGGGTATTATCTTTGATATCATCTGGTTCTCCTGACTACAACAAGATGCTCTCCTCTTGGCTCTGATTTATTGTTGCTTGATAAGCTTTTTGTAGGCTGTGATGTGGAAAGTGTTTTAGCACCTAGCCCCCCCCCTCTTGTGACAGATTTAAAACCTTGCAACTGTCATGCAAATACATCTCACATTTTTTTCTTCCGTAAAACGAAATCTCAGAAAAATATGAAATGTTAACAATATTTTAAGAATCAGGCTATCACCTTCTTAAACATGCTTTTTCTTCACCTGAGGAGGTATTATCTACTTTTAGAAAATTTATGAGACCCTGACATTAGAAAAAGATTTATCAGGATTTGTTGACATAGTATAATACTGCCACCATTGCTCACTGGTTTGTTTCAACACTAATTAAAAATACAAAGTGTCCTCAACTTACAACCACAGTTGAGCCCAAAATTTCTAACTGAGACATTTGTTAGATGAGTTTATGTCTCTTATAGAGATGCTTTTCTTAGCAGACATAAACAATTTCTTTAGTCAAATGCTTGTCGTCCTGATATTAAACAATGCATAAAAGACCTCAGTGAGTGTCCAGACAATATTTATGAATAACTTTATACAGACCTTTTGGGAGCTAATTTGCTTTAGCTCTGATACATTTTGACCATGTGTCTTTCTGTCTGTTCTGGCAATTTTTCAAGAATCCTCTTTTCCCAAGAAGGTGTAGAGCAGGCATCCCCAACTTCCAGTCTGCGGCCCACTAGTGAGCTGTGAGCTATTTGAAATCGGGCCATGGAAATGGCAGGTGCATCTGCATTCCCACTTATGCAAGCAGCAGTTGAGCTTGTGCATGTGCACTCCAATGCGTGAGCAGCAGGCACACATGCACATTGATCACGCAAATGGGGCTACGTGTACTTGTCAGCTGCTCACACAGAACAATCCCCTCTCCCCCTCCCCCACCGGTCCACAAAGCCAGAAAGGTTGGGAACTCTACTGTAGAGCATTAAATCAGTACCAGTAATCAAATATTTGGTTTATATAAGTCATTATATGTATTTTCTCCTAGATTATATATCATGGGCTGCTATAGTATAGAAGATACTGAACTTCTTCAGTAGAGATCATTTATATCTCTTCCATAGCAACATTTATTGGTATCAAAAAGGAAAAAAGAACACAGCATATTATAGGGGTCTTCCCTCATCCTAGTTAGCAACATTTCATGATAGCTTTATTGGCTGTCTGTCCTGAGAGAGGACTCTTCAGCAGAATTGATTGCATATCAGCTGTTCTTTTGCCGATTCAATTTACATACTTATAAAACATTATTCTAGACTCCCAGTTTTAACTTCATAGATATCAATCAATCTGCATTTCATTTTGAATAAGTCGTAAGACATCAATATGATTCTAACAAAAAAACAGATCCCTTCAAAGACTGGGAAGTTATTAAACAGCATATCAGGATTCTTCAAGAAATCCCTTAAAAATGCATGCAGAATGTCAGCATAGTTGGTTTTGATTATGCCCTTGAAGAAACCAAATTAAAGTCTCGTAAGGTACCTGCATTTTCTTGCAAAACTTCATTTCTGCACACAAATAAAAGCCACATTTCAATTATGTTCAAAGAATTTTGTTATAGTGGAAATGAATGTGGGACCAGATTCTCATTTAGTGCAACATGAGACAATTTACATTCCAGTAACTCTCCATACATTTTCAATGATAATTTCTTGAAGAAAACAGAGCAAGTAACTTATTAACTTTATGTTTTGTCTTCTGATCTGGCAGATCTACATGTTAGTTCAAAAGGACAATAAATAAAATACATTTGCTTGGCAACAGATAAAAATCTCCATCTTCCAGGCACTTTGATAAAACTTGTTTGGCTCACAAACTTACATGTATCAATGGAATCTGGCCAATTGCCCAGTGAAAAACACCAAAGGATATATGACATAAATGAAAGAAAACTGCAAATATCTAGATAACCTATATTTTATATTTGCATCACATGAAGCAGAGCTTCAATTGGTGATGTAAATGAAACAGACTGGAGAAATATGAAAAAAGTGTTGCTTGTTTTATATTTGTATTTATTATCAATCTAAGTATATTATAGAAAATTCTAAACCAGTATTAATCATCTATGTTTTTGGGATTATACATGAGGTTTTTAAGAATGGGTTAATTTAAAAAAGCATTTCCTGGAATTTGATGACTTTCTTAAAAGGCAAGAATATACTGTAATAAGAACATGTTAGCAAGGTTTCTTACATTTTTTACAGTCTGTTTATGGACAAAACACCTAACTTAACAGATGTTGTTTTTTACACTACATAATTAGTGGCCCCTCTTCAAGCATGTTGTTTTAAGTCACAAAGTTAAAAAATGTTCTGGGTAGAGTGCCTTACTAGCCCAGGAGAATGTTTGATCTATTTGCAGTGAAAACGTCTGGCGTGAATTCACTAGAAGCCATTATTGAGAGATTGAAATATTTACACCTAGCAGAATTGTCTAGAATAAAGAGATTGAAAACCAATTTTATTGCCTTCCCAAGCAACTGAATTAGAATACTGTTTTCTTTTAACGATTTTGTAATCCCTTGCATCGGGGTGGATCAGGGCAACTGAATGGAGCTGAGCATTTACTGGCTGTATGCCCTTCCTGATATCTATGTGAAGCTCATGGCACCCAGAGAAATATCTGCCGCTACCTTGGATCGAACTAATAGTCTCCACCTAAAGGTGGAGGCAAGACCTCCATCTCTAGACCACCATGCTGCTCTGAACTAGAGTACTCTATTAGAATATAATCACACCACAATTCTCCTTTCATCCTTCCCTATTTAAAGATAATCCAATAAGGATGATTTGCTTTAGGATTTATTAATCCACACCCTAGATTTGGCATACAATACAATACAATAACAACAACAACAACAACAATGACGACGACGACGACGACGATGATGATGATGATGATGATGATGATAAAACATAATATAATGTAATTTTAAGGGCAGTTCAGATAAAGAGTTAATCTAAAAATGTAAAATATTAAGAACTAGCAAAGAATTTTCAGGACGACTTTATCCTAGTCATTTCCTCTGTATCTTAGGAAGAAGGCAACAGCAAACAATTTCTAAATTTCTGCCTACAAAAACTGCAAGGGTTTTCCATGCAGTTGCCAGGAGCAAAGCCTGACTTCATGGCAAATAAAGAACATGCCTGATTATATATTTTCATGAAACTCATTTGATATTCATAGAAATTAATTCCTTACCATTTTTCTTGTTTTTCTTTGAACATAAGAAAGATTGCTATAAAAATTTACAAAGGTATATTGTGACAGTGATGTATTTCATTATCTACTTGACATTGCTTTCTGTATTGTAAGGGCCAAATATGATTCAACATACTTGCTTTTCAGTTAAGGTCGCTATAAGATACTTATCTAAATAGTTGTGTGAATATGGCAAGAAAATAGACTTTTTCTAGTAAAATAATGGCAAAATATACTATTGAAATTCATAAAGCATTTAAGATAGTTTTAACAATATAAAATGCTACAAAGTTTATAAATCAACTCCAAGGTTAAAACAGTGGTCTTAGAACAAGCGAAAGTAAAATATAGTTTGTTTCTTTCATCAGGAAAAGGAACATGACTAATCTGATTGCTTTTGTTTGTAAGTGAAACAAAGAGAGTAAAGAAAACAGAATACAAAGATATAGAAATGAGTTATTGAAGTTAAAAATATTATCTTAGAAATCCAATTGCTGCTCATTATGCAACAGCATTTGTAGTATTTTTATGATAGAAAACATGTCTAGCAATGTGGTTAGACAACAGAGATCCATTTGTACATAGAACAGAGTACATAGACATGCCATTAGTTACTCAGGCACAGGAGGTGGAGCTGTTGTCCATGGTGCTGAAAGATTTGTTGCTGTTAGAGGTATCTTGAAAACTCAGTTTCTCTGCATCATAGAAGAGGCCTACTATTTGTAATATTTTAGTCATATTTCACCAGTTGTGTAAAATTTGACTAGATGATATGGAATTTGCTGTTTGGCTAAAGCTTTGTGCTTAGGAATGTTATGATAACTCAGACTTCAGAACAAAAGTACAGGAACTGGGAGTTGCAATCCTTACTGCTGATAGACTAAGTATGTATTGTTCTTGTTTCTACTTTCTGTGGTCTTGTAATATGTTTCTAGGCAGATATAGACATAAAAAAGTAAACCTAAATGCTAAGTATCTGATTAATCCTTATTCTGATACTCTAGAGTGTAATTCCAATACCTGGGGTATAGCATTATTTGTAACAAAGTAGGAATACTAGGAAGCTGTTTTCCAGATAATAATTCAATTTCATGTTTCTTCAGAGGCTCCTCCTTACCTGGACCCCTATGCTCTTGAATTATAAAGAAACATTCATCTTATAATCATTTCCCTTTTTCCCATACCTGGCTTACTGTGTTTTATAGCTGATGGCCAGGTAAGTTGCACGTGCAAGCCTTTGCCAAGGGCTCCTGTGTGGCAATTGCTTGTCCATGGCTTGCCAGAGCTGTGTTTATTGTCTGTGTATATATGTGTACCTTGCAGGCACTCAAACGGAAACCTGATTTGTTCCTGTGTAGCAGCCTGGATGTCAAAGCAGTATTCCATTGTGGTGAGTAGGCAAGTGCCATAGACTGAATTGCTTTAAAATCACTGTGGGAAATGACTTAGACAAATGGATAATGACCCTTACAAGTCATGACAATTGTAAAGAATGGAGAAAGGTTATTGATATGGAAATGTCCGCAAAATTAAACAAAACCCACTGTAGAGAGACTTTAGGAAGGAAAGCTTACTTTTTTCTTGAATCGCCAAAAAAACCCTGTAATTACACATGCTGAATACCGAATTGTTCCTTCCTTCTAGCTGTGATCTCTCTGAAGTTTCCTGAAGCACCAACTGTCAAAGCTTCCTGTGGCTTTTTTGTGAGTATTTGTCTTTGGTAGAGTAGATCTGTCATTAGCTAGTGGTACAGAGGTGGGTTGCTTATTTTTTTACTACCAGTTCAGGGTGTGCGTGCGTGCAACACTTCTGCGCATGCTCATAAGTGTCCAGGGGAGGGGTGGGCGGACCCTCCCACCACCGCTACTACAGGTTCGGCTGATCCGGGCTGAACTGGCAGCAACCCACCTTTGTAGTGGCACCATATCATATCATAGCACCATAATATGAAAAGCAGTTCTTCTGGGACAGAGTAACAAAACACCCAAGCAGATAAGTGAGATCCTTTCCCATACTGAATGAAAGGACTCGCTTTCATTATTACTTCTTAAGGATATCTCTTTTTATGTACTTAATGTTTGTAAGACATTAAGACTTGGAAATAAAATGGCAATCTTCCCATTATATTTATTTAAATTCTGTCTATAGGAGCAGGATATTTCCAGTTTGAAATTTGTGTCCTTGATATTTTGATAAAACGTTCTTGATATTTTGTCCACTTAGACAGTTTCTCCCACTTGTTATAGACTGAATTGCTGCCACGCTGTGGGGAGATTGCACCTGTGGGACAAGTGGTACATGAGAATGGCAAAATGCTACTACAAGCTGTAATTGAGGTAAGCAGTGTATCTTTTATAATCTGGGATCAGTGAAAAAGGATAATTTTGAAACACTCTGCTCACACATAGACTGCATTTACTCCAATTTGTTTTATTAATTCAGTTTCCTTGTTATCAGAATATTTACTGGATTATATGCAGCATGTTTCTGTCCATGTTTACATTCACATAAATTCCACTAAAGTAAGTGGTGCTTATTTTCCAAGTATGTGTGCATAGGATGGACGTTTAAGGCTGAGGCCTTAGGTATTCTGAAGCACTTAGCCTGGCCCTTGATATAATCTACTGGCATCTTCATATGACATAATGTAAAGTTCACCATGCAGTACAGTTTTTTGCAAGATTTGACTGGATGTGCTCCATTCTTGCAGGGTATAGGTGGCCAAGCTTCACGAAATTTGATGGATCATTTTGCTGAGATTCTTTTTGCTCTCAATAAGCATTGCTTCAGTTACCTGAGTGTGTGGATCAAGGAAGTCATGCAGCAGGGTGGCTTTCCATCAACCCGTGTCAGCCCTGAGCAAAAGGACATTTTCAGCCAACAAATTCTCAGGTGAATTTCTTCTTGGCATATTTTCAGAATTGTGAACTAATTAAACTGAATAAGCTCTATAGATATTATTCCATGCATTCTATCTAGTGCTTAGTTCTAAATTCCTAATTTATCTTTTAGTTAATTGTTCAATTGAAGTCCAGATGGTAAAAGTCTTAATTAGCCCTATACAGCTGAACCTCTGAAGAATAATTAATTTAATTAATATTTTATAAAAGAAACAGCACATAGTATATTAATTAAATATAGTAAATATGTACAAGTAATTTGTATAGAGTTCAATAGAAAAATGGTACACAGAAAATATATTTTCTCCTTTTTCTGTCTTCTATAACATGGTGCTGAATTTGTAGGCAAACCAGCTGGAGTGCCCATTATTATTATTATTTTGCTTTGGGGTGTCCAACCAAGTTTCCAAAGTGAAAAGCTACTGGTTAGCTAAGATCAGACAAAGTGATCCAGCTTAAGTGTTCCTGTTTATGCTTTACACAATACTGTATGCCTGCAAATGTGACTGCTCTGGAGCCACATGACATTACTAAAATGGTGGTTTGCGTTGTAACAGAGCTTGCTGATAATATTTTGTGTCCAAGAGCAGAAGGCTTCAATTCTTCAGTCTAATTTTCATTGCTGCTTGGTAGAAGGGGATGTAATGTTCCCCCCTCAAATATTTGCTGAAAGGCTACAGGAGATTGGGGTTCCATACGATGGCTTTTCTTACTGTCCCCTTGATTTTACCCACCTAAGAAGAGAACTCTGAAATACATTATGTATATCTGTGCTTGAATATGAATATCCTTCAGACATTATAGATTGTGCTTTATCAGAATCTGTGGCTCAAATATTATTTGCACTTATATGAATGCACATAAAACCTGTGAATGAAGGCAAATATAGGTCCCAGGATAATGTTGCAAAATCCAATCTAGTTCAGTCATCAGAACCAAAGGTTTAGTCTTCTGAGTTTTGGATTTGTGCTGGAGCCCATCCGCAGGGAACTTCTCTTTACTGGAATGTGCACATTTCGGGGGAAATACATCCCTGAGGATGAGCTCCAACACGAGTCCAAAAGCTCAGAAGATGAAATCTCTGGCCCCAGCAACTGACCCAGATGTTTCAAATAGAACTGACTTCAAGATCTCCCTGCTCTGTCTGTTTGGGTCCTGGATTGAAAGAATAGAAGCCAGCACACATGGCAAATCTGTGGAATAGACTAGCACATACAGTTCTGTTTTCGACACTTTTTAGTCCACATTTGTAAATAAAGAGAGTTCCAGTGAATAGGACAACAAGAGTAACTGTTTGGAGCATGTCTAAATGGACTGCTCCGTGTGTTGATTCTTTATTGGCAAGTCCTGAACTTCTACAATCTATCACCCTTTAGTATTACATGTTGATCTTCCATCATCCCTCCTTTGTCTTAGCAGAGAACGTGTGAACAAACGACGTGTGAAGGAGATGGTAAAGGAGTTCACATTACTTTGCCGAGGACTGCATGGTACTGAATACACAGCAGACTACTGAGGAGATCTGTGTGGCAAAAGACTGCAGCATGAACAGATCTGGTTTTATGCCATCGCCTGAAGCTGCTACCAAATCAGCTGATAGAATGATAACTTTACAATTAACCTACCCTGGTTGCTCCTCTCAAGAACAAGCTGTTTCCAAATCCCTTCTGCGTATTCAGAGCTCACAGGCTCAAAGGACTTCGAGCAGAGATTGGAGCAGAGCTGGACAGTCCCCTGCCAACCACAGGACTAGTGTACCAATTGCCACTTTCCCCCTTGGCACGCTCCTGTAGAAGTGTCTGTGATATTGTCTATTTCTAAAGAGTCTACCTTTTACTTGCATGAGGAAGCTTGTGTCTGATTGAAGTGAAGGTCCTCCTGCCTTGAATTACATTAAGGCTACTTCTAAGCTCCTGTGGTTGGCCTACTGGGGAAGCGGCATACTTTAGGGGCAATACGGGCAGGGACAGAGTACAGCTGTAGCAGAGGCAATTACAAGAATATGATCTGCCCTAACCTGATTGGTGCAATAAATAATACTAAGAGTTCAATAAGGTATCACAAAGAGGCAACACCATCTTTTGGGGGGCTGTGACATTCCTCGGAATGCTGGCACGAATGCTACATTACCTCTTGAAAAGTTCCTGCTGCTGCTGCCTCTGCACATTCTGCAGAGCATTTTCTTCTATTACATTAGCCTCTTCAAAGAGATGAATATGTGAATGTGAGTGTCTAGGTTTGCTGCAAAGAAAGAGTTGCAGCTGCCTTCATGAATGGTTTGAAAGCCCTTTGCGTCATCTCTGCTGCTGACAATGGATCTGGGTAGTGACAAAGAGTTGGTAAAGCTGGAATGAAGACAGAAGTTATAAAGATTGGGGATTCATTAATAATCTAAGCCTCTTTACAACCTAGATCCATTTCAGTGGCAATATATTAATGCAACTTCTCTTCTATAGGAGTAGTTTAACCAGATTTCTTACAGACTCCTAACTCAGGTTTGCTGCTGATCCTTTTCCTTTGGCCAGGACTGGGTAGATTGAAGTTAATTCACACAAAAATATCTTTGCTCCATTAATGAAACTTAAAAACATTTATCACCTATTAGCTAAAGAACAATATCTAAATATCAGTGTGAGAAGTACAAGGAATTTATGTAGACTTGGCAGACGTTTCTGCATAAAAGCACAAAAAGCACATGTTTTGGGAAAGAAAAACTCTTCTGGGATAATGTAAAAGGAAATTAATTGAATATCTAAGTTCTTATATAAAAGAAGCATGGTAACAGAAATGCTGCACACCATGATATACCAACTATGTCATGAAATGGGGAGAGATTGAAGAACACGTTCTGAAACAGAAATCATGCTTGTGGAAAGACCATAATTTTGAGGAGAATCTTTTTATTACTGATAGGAGCTAAATTACAGTGTTTTGGTGGTATCTGAATAATCTTGGACTCATCTAACCCAAAGCTCTTCCTCTAACCAATGGAAGTATTTTTCTGCCTATTGGAACTATTCATCTTTAAAATGGTTCATTAGAGCAAAAATGTCTGCAGTAGGGAAACCACTTCCTCTCTTGGTTGCATTTGAGGTAACAGGGCTTTGGAAGTGAGGAATCATACTATTTAATTCCCTCCCCACTTCTTTAAAAAAGGATTGTTCTTTAATACATTCTTTTACATCAAATCTTGAAAACAGGACATTCTAACTTCTATTACAGTTATTTAGGGAAAGAATTGTTCTAATGTAATCAGATGTTTTTACTCGGAGTCTTGAATGCAAAGTACAAACTCTGTACTTTAATTAATTTAATTAATTAATTAAGTAATTTCTGCTTTCAAGAGGAGGAAGAATGAATCCTTGTGGTCTTTTCCCCCTTCTGGCATGGCATGACTATCGATAAGTAATATACTACAAAGAATGATTCATTTCTAAACATCGAGAGAAAAAAAGATTTTTGAGGAGGAAGTGAACAAATGATGAATTCCATTTCCCTATCCAAACTTAGCTTCACAACAGCTATACTGTGTGCCTTGTGGTGGGGTTTATAGCCTATAGCCTACCTGGTTGTTCAGCATTGTTGCTTTCTTATCTATTTCAGCCTTTCAGTCTACTTAAAGCAATTTTATGATCCTAGATGAACATGAGACATTGAACAGATGCCTGAAAAATTTAGAAGCACAGAACACACATTGAAATCTACCTTGAACAGAACCAGCCTTAAGCTATTCTATTTGATTAGTATTTTGCCTTACTTTCTAGACCATGTGAGAGGTTTTGAGGTGGTGGTGTCACCATTTTGTATCTCCCATTTTCACAATGAGTAATCATGAAAAAATAGCTTATATGGTTGTTTCCAAGGTCTGTCTACATAAGAGTATCTCCAATCACTCCAACAAAACAGTCTAGGAGAAATAGCCACGGTTGGGTACTAGGTAAGTTATCATGAAATGATACAAGGTACAAGTATGTTAGGATTCTTCTGAAGGCAATTGATCTGTACACTAGAAATGGTCCGTCCTCCCGACTGTAAGAAATTGGCAAAACTCTGTTAAGAGAACAGATCCATGTGGCTAAAGTTTAGTAACAGTGAATCACTTCCAGCAAAAGTAGGCAAATTTCTTGTATTTCTTTGCCATGTACCAAAAGTATTTCTATCTTGTTTCCCTGGAATTTATTTTCTTGGAATATTTTATATCAGTTTGTAATTCCACAACTTACACTGTTTTTTCTGCTGAAAAACTCTGCTGTATTACTTCTCTAAGAGTCCCTTACACCAAATAAGTGTATTTTGCATTAGCAAAACTACTATTGCCTCCCTACTTCAATGACAGTCCCGTGTTCAGATATAGAAAGTGGCATAGTAGACACAGGATCCTATGAAACACTGATGGCAAAGTAATGGTTCTGCTCAGGATGCCTCTTCTTTAGTGCTAATGGGCTGGTGTACACCTCTCTTGGTGCTTGCCAAACTTCCTTCTCTGCCTGTTTTTTTTCCTCCCAATTTTAAAAATGAATTCTTAATATGCCGTTAAACAAAACATCAGTCTCAAGTACAATCTAGATTTCCAATAGTGCCTCTTGGCCTCATGTAGACTTTAGAATCCACAGTGGCTATAAAGTTATACAATACTTAGAAAGTGTTTTGCTTTCTCAAGATTTTAATGGAACAGTCTTTTAAAGCTTCATTCAGTAATAAGAGGCACAGTGTACAGCACAAATACAGTAACAACCTTTGTAAAGCCAGTTGAGACTGTATCTGGAGTCATCAAGTCAGAACAACAAAACTCCATGAGATGCTTCACCAACTTGAGGTAAAGGGACATATTTCCATCAAGCAACACCTCTCTGAGAGGCATTCTGAATTATCTGCCTGCACTTTGTTTGGAAGAATGCCTTCCTGATCAAAACCAAAGGAGAAAAATAAGCTGAAGTAGTGGTGTTGGAGGAACTTTGGTGTTGGAGGCTCCCTAGAAAGTGGGTATTTTGTGACTTTCCAGATTTACCACAGTGGGCATTTTTAGAGTGTCTAGACTGTAAATTTCAAATATGCCTACTGACCTCAAAAGTTTTGAGATACCTTGCATAATGGGAGTGCATCAATGTAGCACGAATTGACTTCATGCCATCTTGTGGAAGCTAATTGGTTGGACTTCACATTAAGGATGTAATAGAGAAACAATATTTGTCAAACGAAGTAGAAAATCCATGTACTGGATGACAAAAGTGCATACTAGGTGCTTGTGTAATTTCATGTTTCCCTGTGAAGGAACATTTATGCATAAACATAATTACTCCTTTTAATAGAAAACTTTTGTGTGCCAGTACAATTATGGCCAAAACAGGGCTATTAAAAATAAGAGGGTGTTTGGCATGCTTATAATTTTCAAATCCCTTTGTAAAAGTTTCCTACACGCAACAATTTCAATATCCAATGAAGATTGAGCATCATTAATCTGAACATTAGTTGAAAAAGAAAATGGAAGCAGGTGAACATCCTAGAGGAAGAAGTGGCTACCTAGATGCCTGAACAGAAGCATTCCAGTTGGGTGAAGAAAGTATAGCTGGGGCCTGGCAACAGTTTTGTTGCATACAGACCAATTAAAGTCTGTAAGATTTAAATTTGAGCTTTCAAATAACAAGTAGTGCTCCATCCATCTAGATAATTCTATTGTTAATCTGCTCTTCTAGACTCAATGATCAATTAACTTTAATATTTGCCCAACATTTATTCTTCTGTAAAGAACTTTAATTTGGTCCCCTGGGGGTTATGAAGATCAAGATTAGGGTTATGCATGCTTCAAAGATGATTTGGAAGAAATACTTAAAACTTTACATAAGCATAGCATCTCTGTTACCATTAAAGAGGCCCATGGAATGTAGTTCCTTCAACCTTTCTTTATAGAATATTTTTTATACGGTATATTCATTCTTGTGACCCTTTTAGCTAATATCTCTTTGTCAGCATATTTAAGTGTGATCTCCAGAAAAGGACACAGTGCTTTGGAATAAAATGGAACTATGGCTACTTGTTACTTGGAGACTATGCTTCTATTAATTCAGTCTGAGAATTACATTAGGTGTTTTTGTTTCATTTTCTTTTTTAGCAATTTCATCACTGCTGACTTCAGCTTGTGATCAATAATGCTCACCCTACTGTTCAGCATAGTCTAACTCACTTGTCAACAGAAATGACAACGGAGGACTACTTTAAACAACATGGATATTTATAAATTGGCTATATACTAGTGTGGATTAACATTTATCTTCTCATTGAATAAACATTTTTTTCAGCAGAGATCAACACTTTAAAAAAAAATTATTCCTCTGATAAAATAATATAGCACTCTACTTAATCTGTTGAGCTGTCCATCAACATACTGCAAGAAATACTAACTCTGCCCACTTATGCCCTGTACAAATAAGATTGTCAACCAGTTCAAAAAGACTCATGTTCCATTAACCCATCCAAATCCAGCAAAGAATGCAATTTGTTATCTGGCCAATGTCTTTTATCTTCAGGGTTGATCATCCACAAGGCTCATCTTCATAGGCAATGGCAATTCCCCGTCGTCCCACAATAGCTTTTTTTACTTCTGTTTGGCCCAGCTGTTGTTCCAGTCCCCGCCAGCTGCGGGACTCCAAGAATGAGGCTAAGATACAAAAATATTTCCCCAACTTTATTCCAATGCCCACAAAAAACTAGAAATCATTTTTAAAAAAACCAAGTATATTGGTAGAGCATTATCTTCGAAAACTGATTATATTGATAGGGCAATACCATATTTACATTATGAATCAAATATTGTGTGGGAGGACATTAGGCTATTAATGCTAGCTCTACCTCCATTAATTGTCTATTAGCAACTATGAATGGATTCATGTAGTAGCAATGCAAGTAGTAGTTATTTTATCAGCCTCAATTTTTGAGATTCCACAACAACTATATCTTAAATAATTGATTAATCAAAAGAAAAGTACTAAGCGGGGAGGTTCTTTGCAACTGAAAGAGCATTACTCCAAGCCACATACCTGCTGGGCTAATTTGAGACACAGTCTGTACATGGTTGCGGCACATCACAGTTGTGTCAGAATTTGGCTCTGCATCTATCAGGGAGGGATCAATTGAGCGCAGCTGTCCAGTGATCAGTGAAATGCTAGGTTCAATGTTGGTCTTTTCTGGGAAAACGACATGGTCGCAAGCTCCTGGAGATAACAGAAAACAAGTAGAGTAGTAACTAAGTTTCATTACTTACAAAATGATACTCTATTATATATTCAAAGCCTGAATCAAGCATGCAGACCCTGATTAGAGTCTTGAGTTTGGGGATACAAATGGCAATAAAGAATTTGTGGGTTACTCTGGCTGTAGCTGACCAAGAGCAGAACAGGACCAAAAAATCTTGATGGAATTCTCTAAAGATCAGACCTTTGAACTTCCTTACCATGAAAATGTCTATATCTTAAAAGGAACCATGAATACTCTTGGTTCCAAGGTCTGCATAGGATTCCTAACCTCCTTTTTATGGCAATAGAAGCTCATGACTAACCATAGTTACCCTCCCAAAACAGCATCATGGCTTCTAGTGATTTTGAGGATGAAAATACATAGAGTAATTTCTAAAATACGATTAATGCTGTCCAAAAAACACCTCCCTACCTATTTCCCTATGACACCCACACCCACAAACACACACCCACACACCAACATTCAACTTGGAACAGATGGCAACTCTATTAACTTTGTAACATTATGCTTTGTGGTATTACAATCTCTCCTCAAAGCTTTAGGCCCCAAACCATCAAAAGTTCCCTGTATTTATAATAAAGCACCCATGTGCTTCCAGAGGAAAGCTTAAAAGTATACAACTAAGCAACTTTTTCACCAGTCAGAAACTAAGGGAATCAAAGGTCTCTTGAAAATGAACACTAAGCAATAACTGTTATCCAGGCTCATTGTCTGAATCGGGGCATCTGGCGTTACCTGGTAGAAGGTGGCGAAAATCGGTAACATAGCGGCCTGTCCAAGTCCGTGCTGGATTGCATGCTATTTCCAGCTCGTAGGGCGTGATCAGGGGTCGATAGAAATCAGTGGAGTTAAGCAAGGAATTCTGTGGGCAAGCTACCAAAACAAAGATATCCACCTCTGGAAAGTTCGCCAGTTTTGCAGGATTAGGTTTACCCACAGCCAGCGTGTAGGCACGTTTTCCAGCACGGTGAATGATTTGGCGAAGATGCTCCAGAACAGACAAGTAATCTTCTACTCCAAGAGTACCCACCACAATACCCACGACTTGAGCATCTCGTGTCCGTTCCACTAGATAAAGGCGTCGCCGCAGAGCCCGGTTCACATCCAGGGTTTCGCATCGGCCTTGCCCTGTCCTAGGATCAAAAGAACTAAAGGGACACTGGTTCCAACTCAGCATGAAGTTTGTAAGTTCTGCTCCTTCAGAACCTATGTAGAACATACTGTAGTTTTCAAGACCATGATCTTCGTCTATTACAAAACGCCGTCCAAACTGCTGGATCATTCCAGAAATCGGCTGGCTTGAATCAAGATTTTTTTTGCTATCCAACTGAGCAAAAACCACATTGGGATAAATCGGTTGCAGCTTAGAGGCCAGGTCATCTAAGAAGAGAGGAGGTACAGAGAAAAAGTAATATTTGAGCAAATACAATTCAATTTAACATATATGCAATGTTCCCAATATCTAGCCATCCTCCTATAACCAGAGAGAAAAATCCTTAAATCACACTAGAGACTGCAAGCAAAGGTAAAAGCTGGGTTGACTGAGATACATCAAGATTAATGAGAGTTATGGGGCAAATATGATCAAAGATGTTCTTTAAACTAACTAACTAACACTGGATCCCACATTGTACTATTTCATTTTAAATTATTTGATTTTTTTTCATATTGATCTCTTCAGAAATTAGTAAAAATTCTTGGCAGGAATCTTCAAGTCTTCCTCATTTTGTCCTTGGCTTGATTCAAATAGCAAAACTTTGAACAGCAATAACAGTAATGCATGTTGCATGGCTTAGACTGAATAGTCAATTCTAGTAGCTTAGCTGTAAGAAACACATAGGAGACACAAACTCAAGATTGGCAGAATGGCAGATTTTAAGATTAGAAATGAATATGCTATTTCTATGGGAACTTCCCATCCTGGCCCAAAATATCTCTTTTCTACCTATGTTCCCCCTCCTCCAACAGACCTCTGCAGTGTATTTGTATCCACACAACCATCTTCCTAGACTTACCAATGGCATGAAAATATGCAGATTCACTCAGTACAACCACATAGGTTTGATGGTCAGGGTACAACTCCTGGAAGACTTCCACACATCGCATCGCATCTAGCTGTTCCTGGCCAAATATGTGTAATACTGGCAATTTGCGGCAAGGACTCAAGCAGGCAGGGCCATAGTGCACTATAGCCTCTGCACTGACATGCTCTGCTGCCACTTCATCTACACAACAGCTAAAGAAACACAACAGGATTAGCTATAGAAATCAAGGACACATTTTATTAAACAACAGCCAGTCCCAGCATACAGAAAATTACTTTCTTTGTACTGAAAGTGTCCTCCCAGATACTAGACTCCAACTAGAATCAACCCTGGAAGCATGATCAATAATAAAATACTGGGATTTGTAACCCCATAAAACCTTTCACTCCATTTCTAGGAAATGTAATTGAGAAACTTATAATTTCCTAATATTGCTTAACAACAAAATCACCCATCCATCATCATAGTACTTCAGATTTCTGAGATTTATATTTAGCCTAAATTATAGGTTCAGGGCTACAGTTTTCCCAATTTTAGCAAAGAGATTTTCCCCTTTGGCCAGGCTTGGCAGATATCTTAAAGGGCTCAGTAGTATCTGCCCTGCCCAATACAGGATCCATTACTTCAGTATAAGAGACAGATAGTCATTTAGTCTCTGTTTAAATATCTCAAAGGAGAATCTGTCACTTCTAAAGCCACCAGTTCCACTATTGTACAATAGGATTTATTCCTGATGTTCAATCTAAATCTTGTAGTTTAAGCACGTCAAACTTAGTCTTGTCTGGTCCAACTCTAAAACTTTCTGTCTTGTCTTGTGGTAGCCCTTCAGATACCAGTACATATCCCTGAAATATTATCCTCTCCATGGTAAGCATACCTGACACCTCCAAACTTTCATCTGAAATGTTTCCTTCCAACTTTCTCACCATCTTCATAGCTCTTTTCTGGCTATGGACCAGTATGTTGATATTCTACCTAAAATAAGCGTCAAGAACCAGATACAATATTCTAGGAGACTTCTTTACATCCTCTATGTAAGAAGTGTGTATGTGTATGTTTCTACTCTACACCCTGTCATGCATCTCTCTGTTTTTGTATACATCTATATACCTAGAAGGCAGAACAGATATACATGTTGCAATCTAGATCATGTGACTAGAACAGGAAGGCATAGAATGAAGCACTTTCCAACATTACAAGCTCAGCTGCTTTTCCCATAGGAGCCTACTGGTTGATGGTCAGAGTCCTGACCTCCTTTCATTGTAACAGTCCACTGCTTTGGAAGGAATAAAAATGTCAATGCAAACTTGCCCATCTGTACTTAATTTTAATTTCCATTGTTCACTAAGGTCTAGTCAAAATTAAGCACATATAATCATGCTGTCTTTAAAATAGGTGGATCTTCCTATGACCTTACCTGCCATATGATGTGTCTCCCAGGACATATATCTTGGCACCAGTTGCTTTTTCCATCCTTGCAGCAACATCTGCTGAATCTGGCAAAAGTTTATCAGGAAACTGAAGAGCAATCTATGGCAAGATACCAAATTTACTCAAAATATTTCTACTATAATAGGTCAAACAAAATAAACATGCATCTATTTACTCTCCCATCAATTTCTATCAGTACTGTATTATAATTGTATTGTCTGTCTTGTAAGGTGCAACAGAATACACCCAATTCCAGAGGAGAACTACCCATCTTTATGTCAGGTCACAAAATAAGCTCACCTTGGTGAAGCCATTGTCAGATACAAAAGCAGCTGCTTTCTCCAGTTCATAAAATTCCTCTATCCCCAAAACTGGGGGACGACTACCCACTTCTGTAGAATTCAATGTCCGCTGAATCACCTCAGCTCCATCAGTGTTGAATGCTGTTGCCATGATGATGTAAATCCCAAAGTCAACAAGTCAAATTATGTTCAACCACAAGGATAACCCAATTTTGGCTCCCTAAGACTGATACAAATTGCATACATAAGACTATACACAAATTGAGAATGATTTTGAATTCTATAATAGGTATAATACCTCGTACAGTAATTCTTACTTTTGGTATGGCTCATCCAGGAACTGATCGTGAAAATGCCTGGTTTTTGCAAACTGATAGGGGATTAAAGAAAATTGGAGTAAAGTAGAGTAGAGTAAAAAGTGACTTACCAACTGGCGTTTCCAAAGAGCAGCTACAATATAACAGCAATACTCCAATATTCCTTAACTAGCTGGAAGGGGGGGGGAGATACCCCCCCCAACACCAGCCACATGGATCATATTATCCACTTTCTTGCGGATGCCAACCGCAACCACCAATGATCTTTATTCTGTAGAACGTCACGGTACCCCTTTGCGTCAGTAGGGGAATTTTTCATCCAACAGCAAATCCCGATATAGGAAAGTCGCCGGAAAAGCAAAAATGCTAGACAGAGGCACTGTGGGGATTGTAGTTTCGTCCTCTTTAGAAATTAACCAATCCCACGACTCCAAGAGGCTCACGTAGCTCCTTGAATCCGTTCACGTGGTGCGGTGTCCGTCTGTCAGTTAGTCAGTCACAGGGTCGGCTGATTTCCTGGTCGGCTGCGGTCCGCGTTCAGGGTTTGTCTCCGCCATGTCCGGACTCGGGTTGCTGTATTCGGGACTGGGGCTGAGTGCGGCCGCCGCCATCGCCGGCATCGGTTAGTGATTGAAGCGAGAGGCTCCAAGGTTGCTGTTTTTTTTGGGGGGGGGGCGCCCGCTCCCCTTGCCGGATTCTTACTTCCCCTTTCTTTATGTCGGCGCGTGTGTGTGTTAGTGGGAGATCATTGATCCTCGATCGGAGGCAACTAGATCGCAGGAGAGGCTAACCTGGCATCCCAGGCGCCTCTCAGAATGCCCGATTCTGCAGCGCGGGGTGTAGGTGGGTGGGTTAGGGTTAATTATGCGAATATAGCCTCCTCTGGCAGGAAGGAATGTTTGAACCCGTGTCCGAACCCGAACGTGGTTTGGGTCTCTTTAACACTTCTCCTTTGTCGACAGGAAGTGGGGTTTTTTTTTTTTTTTTGCCTTTCCATCTCATGTCATCCTACATTTTAGAAACTGCTGGGTGGAGATTGCAAAATAAAAAATAGACACCTAAAAGATGTTTTCCGTGTCTAATAATCCCAATTCATTTCTGATTAATTGAGAAACAAGAGAGTTTTCTTAGCGGCTTTGCCATTGAAATGATTCTGAATGAATGCTGCTGGGTGCCAAAGGGTATACCCTTTGAATGAAAGAAAAGCATTAAGAAAACCTCTGAAATACAAGTTCAGTTCTTGTGTGTGCTTGATCAGTTTTAAGTTACAACGAAGTATTTTTAGAGGAAAATAACCACGGATAAGAGGTTTAATGGAAAAAAACATTTAACTGCTTCATCCTAGTTACCTTTGATATAAAATTAACACGGAATGTCCACTAGCAGTATAAGTATTGTTTACGTATAAACAAGGATGGTTGATTTTTAATCTTTTGGTTGAGATAAGGCACAGAGATATATGTTCAGGGAGATTTCATGCTTGTATTTCATATAAAAATTTATCCATGTATTTATCCTATATATTTAACATTCAGGTTATAAATCATTATATTTTAATTAGATACTATTTCTAATTAAATAAACATTTCCATTTACTGGAAATGCTACAGCAGTCAGCTGACGGAAGCCCATTCATCATCTCAGCCTTCTCATGTGCTCAAAATCTGGTTCACAAGAATACATTAGTAGTTAAAAACTAGTTCATTGAAGTGTACGTGTAATAAAATCAGAAGCAACTTGAGAACTAAAATTCATAAAATGGAAAGGTTTCAACAGCATTTACCGTGAGTATGTGTGTTATATTGGACAACTATTATGTGATATTAGCAATGCGAAAACAAAAGTTTGATTAGGAAATACCTCAAAATGGCTTTTCATTAAGCTGAAGAGATTGCCACTTGCCACCAGCACTTTAGTATTCAAAGTTTTGTATTAATGAACATTCTTAACAAATTTGTGTTAAACATTATTACTAAAACATTGGGTATCTAAAATAATCCAATTGGTAAATAAAATAGAGGCAATAGCAAGGCATATACAGATGCAACTGGAATCATTATCATATGCTCCCATTATCAATAAGACAAAATAGATGTGGTGAATGCTTGTATAATTGAATGCTTTTTAAACCTTTATTTAAAAAAGAAATCCCTCCTCTTTTGAGTTATGCCAGATTTATCATTGATAAGAGATTCAGAATAAAGAAGAACTTTTAAGTATTTTGCCCTTGCCAGAGAAACCTCTTGCATGTCTCTAGGCTTTAACTTAAGCCAATGGTGGGTTCCTACTGGTTCGGCCCAATTAGACTTTCGGCCCAATTAGACTGAACCAGTAGAGACATGCCAGCCCGGGTTCCAGAACCAGCAGCAACCCAGGCTGGCCACGCATCCAAACCGGTTCCCTGGTCGTCAACGCCGTCACCATTAGTTCTGTACATGCGCAGAACAATTTATATTGAAGTGTGCATGTGCACATTCCGCGTACGCACACGCAAAGCGCGCCCACGAATGAACCAGCAGTAACGCGGCTAGAACCCCACATTTCTGCAGGTGATTATCAAACACATTACTGTAAAGCTGCTGTGTAACTGAATGGTATATACGTTTTGCTGTGTACCTGTGATTTCTTGGGATCTATTAATAATAGCACTGCTAGGTGATGTAAAATCTCTATTTTATCACTGCTGTAATCCTATGCAAAGTGTGCATAGTAAACTTCATTTAGTTTGTTTTGTCAACAGTCTTTTGGAGCAGTTCACCTAGTAAGAATGATGAGCCTGCAATGAACCTGGGATCTTCTACTGCATTAGTTTGGCTGATGTGGTTCAGACTTGTTCAGTCAGGATTAAGAAATGATAAACCATAAACTCAAGTTTGACCTTCTAACTCAACTCTGTATTCCTATTAAGGTCATTTTAGCAAGTAGGCACAGCTTATTTTGGAAATCAAAATTTCTTACTGGCTTTTGCTGGGAACATCACCCACACATAATATCCTTCTCTGGTTAACCTTGCTCCATTTCTGTCTTTGTAGATGTTTGCCGCCAAGATTTCCGCTCCTGCATGCATTTCTCTGGCTTCTTAGCAGGCAAGGGAAACTCTTAGTTCTGTTTTCTCATTTAGATGACTTGTGGGGGGTTAGGAATGATAATTTTTAGTATGATTTCCACTCCATATCAAAGGGGAAGTTAGCGTCTTCCTTTTTCGGTTAAACTTATGTCTTATAGTGGCTTCCTGTCTTCTTTCCAGTGAATCTTGAATTCATATTCTGAAATAGTTTTAGGAAATCCATGCCACTGAGCTAAATGCTGTTCACCAAACTGAATGATTGATAAGGAAGGGATGTGATAATCATAAAATTAAATTCTTTTCTTTGTTTGAGGAAGTGGATCAAAATATAGAAATCCTTTCTATAGTGTATGTGGTTTGCAAAGGGAGAAATACAAAAAATCTTCTACTTCTCTATTAAAGTAGAATGTAGAAACATGGGTGTTTTTCAGAAGTCATAGTATGCAACTGTAGCAAATAAACACTGTACCAGGGGTGTCAAACTGGCAGCCCGCAGGTCAGATGCGTCACGCACAGGTCAGGCACACCCCAGCTACATGAAGGGGAAAAAAGTTGTGAAACTTCACATGACGGCAACAGTCACAAGTTTGATATCTGTGCTATAGTGTATTCAGTCAAATTTCTTCATTCTGGCTATTTTCTTGGTATTTTGTACAAGAATTGGGCAGCTGTTACTATAGAATACTTGGTTATGATCTCTTAATCATGAGGGAAAAATCTAGCTGTAGTCTTTGGGAGTGGCATCCTTAAATGCGCCATTTAATTTCCTCCCCTTTTAATATCGACAGTTTCAACAATTACCAAGCTCTTTCAGAATCACATACGCGGTATTCCAGCCCTTAAGCTGTCAGAATAGAGAGAAGCAAATGTTATTTTATGACATACCCCCACGTACAGAATTCTACATGATTTCAAAAACTGATGTACTATATATAATCTTGTAAAATGCAAAGCTCTGTGAGTTCAATTCCCAGTAGAGGTTTTGGCTTGTGCAAAATAACTTTTCGTTACCTGCAAATAAGGAGACCCAGTAAGGATAAAAATAGTGTTCTCCAGTGTTCATATTTATCCACAGGGTCTCATTTGATACATAAATATCAGGAAGCTGTTATGCAACTCGGCCATGTATGCATTCTCATTTCATTCCTGTGGTTTTTTTTAGCAAAGTTTATTTTGCCAGTTTAAAATGTATGTGTTTTCTGAATAATATCTTTTTTGTGATTAATGATAGGGATGTTTTTCTCTCCTATAAAGTCTTTGCATGCACCAAAGACAAATTCCTTGTGTGTCCAATCACAATTGGCCAATAAAGAATTCTATTCTATTCTATTCTATTCTATTCTATTTAGATGTATTACAACTTATTTTAGTAAGCGTTTTGGGGATTTAAAAATGCTCATATAATTTCTTGGGCATCCTCAAAGATAATATACATTTTAGCCAAAATATGGCCAAATGATTGTGCTGCATTCAAAGACATTTAGATTTATTTTATTTGTATGCCGCCCTTCTCCAGGAGGGACTCAGGGCAGTGAACAACTCAAAGGGGGAAAGGGAAACATAGAACACAATACAAGTAGTTAAAATAGCCAAGAATCACACAACCACA